GGATGAGGGTCAAAGGTCGTGACCTAAGCTAGTGGAACATATTGTCTGTGCTGTTAGCTGGTCGGTTACAACTGTTTCTTTATAATATTTAAATATCCAAATATTAAACTTTACAGCAAGAAACAACTTATTGTGTAAATTCATCATAAGCTAACTTTATTACACATGGTAGATAATATTTATGTTCATTTACCTCTAATGGAACATTCTGATCCAACTGAACCAGGAGTCTCATGCTGTGTGTTTCCTTTACGATGAATGACGATAAAATGAAGCACAAACGTATCAGAGATTCTTTATTATGACTTTTCAAACAATTAAAAATATTTTAAACATGAAGATCTTGTGTTCTCATTCATCAACAGCAGCATCATAAAATGAGTTCAGTGTGTTCATACAGAAAATCATCATCATCAATAATCCATCAGCTTCTCCTGCTGAAGGTTTCCTTTAAAATTCAGACACATTTTCACAATCACACACTTAAAATACAATAATAATAATAATAATAATAATAAAGCTGCAGAATCAAACAGTCTCTGGTGAAAAGACGACGACGTAAGAAACAAATATTCACCGTGTGATTCATAAAGTGAGTTAAAGTCAAACATTTGGTGGAAGTGAAACAACGCATTTGGAGACTTCTCCGGCTGCCGATCAGCCGCCATCATACGTCAAATAAATACTAATAAATCAATAAATAGATCAGACGGACATCTGAAAACACTGAAGTATAAACTGCTCTCAGATGTTCAGCAGCAACTGAAGAGAAACGATCGATTATTGGCTGCCACATGTTTCTGAGTCAAACCTCATCAGGAAGGAATATTGATTATAATCGATTACCAAACATTAACACGTCAGATTGGCCTCGCTGTGACTCACAGACACACCTGTAGAGCTGCCACCTCCTGATTGGCTGCTCACAGACAGTGAATGAAGGTGTGTTCAGGTGAAACCGCTCCGACCGCTCAAACCGGTATGAGCAGGACAGGCGCGGCCTGCAGGAATGCGTCGGGCGTGTCGAGGCAACGGACACATGGATGCTTCAAAATAAATAAATAAAATAAATAAGTGAGTGAAGGTCGAGAATCAGCGGCTGGTTTCAGATTTTGTGATGAAGAGAAAAATGAAAACACTTCCATCAGAAGAAATAAAAAAAAAGGCACAAAACTAATTTAGTAATAATCTGAAGAGAGTTTGTGGTTAGATCTGCTCCATTTACACCTACGGAGGACGATTAGGGCCAAAAACATTTATCTGAGTTCTGAAGATAAAAACTTTAAACTCAGAATTTGACCTTTTAAATACTTTGAACTCAAATTTGTAACATGGCCCCATTTATCTTCCATAAAAACACTAATTTTTCTTTGACAGACTTCCATTGTTGGAGGTTCGAGGAGACGCCAGCAGTTTGTTTTTGACTTTGAACAAATGGCTTCATCAAGAGTTCATAAAACATTCTGATTCATTTCAAAGATTAAAGTTCAGCAGCTCCAGCATCAGTCATCATGAGAAACCTCCCACAATGCCCCTGGCGGAGCCTCGGCCGCGTTCACTCCACCTTGGCGGTCTTGCTGTCGGTGCGGCGGCGCAGGTACGTCTGGTAGAAGAAGTTGGAGAAGAGCAGCAGGTAGCTGAGGTACATGAGCGCGGCCCAGGTGATGTTGTCGATGCGCGAGGGGCAGTCGCCGTGCTGCATCCATTGGTACACCAGCCCGCTCACCGTCAGCCCCATCGCCATCTGACTGATCTGAGCGCTGGTGATGAGCACGGCGAAGGGCCGCGGCACGCGCAGGCCGGCAGCGCGTGCGGCGTAGTAGCTGTACATGAGCGCGTGCACGCCGTAGTTCATGGTCATGAACCAGCCGCCGCCGGCCACCATGTCTTTGTAGGAGTACCAGGAGTACAGCAGCACGGTGATGTGGTGGTACCAGTGCAGGAAGAGCAGCTTCTGCTTCCTCAGCACCACGAACGCCGTGTCGCCTGTGAGACGAGAACCAGGGTTTAATCACACAGCATCATTATTATTGTTGGTGGTGTTGGTGTTGGTG